AATGGAAATAATCGCAGGATCATCTAGCAAAACATGCTTTAGCCTATAGACCATCTGAACCGCTGTTTTTTAGTAACTGCGATTAACTATCAGTTTTATCGAAGAAAATACGACATAAGTACAACCTTTCATATTTATTAGAATTTTACCTTGTGTAGAAGATAATAATAATTCTAATTGTAGAATACTTTCAAAATTTTATTTTATTTTTATCTTTATATTTCATAATTAAATGAAACACGAAACGATTTTTTTCCTGATCCATTGCAACAGACATTCCTATATTTAAGATAGATTTCATATGTCCTAGTTTTATAAATTCACCTGAAGAAAACTCAGTTGTTTTTTTTCAAAAACCTTTATATATCTAACTTATGTTCAAGTAATAATTGAATTGAAAGCGTGTAATCACGTCTTCTGTTTAATCCAAACAAGATTTATATCATATGTTTTTAGATATAGTTCCCAATTAGATCTCCTGTTCTTCGTCCAAACTTATTAATAAACAATCGATCTTCTTGACTAAGAAAATCTTTTTTTTTATTAATGACTTTTAACAATCTGAGCTTGAATAATTTGTCTTTCTCGAACGTTTTTTTTACTAAATGCTTCACAATTATCTTTTTCATTTTGATCATCATGTGCATTACAATATGATAAAATTTATAAAAACCATCGAAAACGTTTTTTTTCTTTAACATGAACAAAACAATTATTTCTATCAGATAATTATACATGTCAATCTTGCACTTTTTCTTGCACTAGGAACTGATAAAGCGACAAGTATTTAAGTAAAATCCAATAATGTAATTCTTATTGCACATTTGTTTTTATCACAAACAGAATTTTTGATATAACTAATTTGCCGTTAATATTATTTAAAAAAAACGGTTAATTGACGAATAATATTGTTTTCCACGATATCCTTCCACACGAGCACCAACCATGTGGTGAAAACCGTCTAAAAACTAACGATGTGATCGTGATTTATTAATTTAATTAATTATGAGATATATAGCGATGATAATTGTCCAAAAAGACGATTTTTATTGAAAAACCATGATTCATTAATAACTTTTTACGATTCATAATTTATACTCTACTCAAATACTCTTCAATAGATCTATTACCTAACGAACTAGTATCATGTTGATGTGTGGTACATTTCATGCACATGGTCATGACTATAATGAAGTTTTTCAACATATATTGAAGAAAGAAAATAGAATATTGCACGATATTTGTCGAAGACAATTCTAATCAGTTGCAATATTCTATAAAGAAAAGATTGTCAATATATATATACTCAACGAAAATTTACATAGAATTTTAAATGTAAGTACTACTTGCTTTATTATAACTTCTTTGTTGACACCTTCAAACTTAATGATGCATCTTTTGTAGAAATACTTTGATTTTTATTCATTTCTAGACATTAAAAAAGTAATTCATTTTCTTTACCTTCTTAGCCAAGAAAAGCAAGGCTTACATGCAACATGATGCTATATGATTTTCAACTATTAGAAGGGAAAACCTTGGCCTCGTCATAATTAACTGTTACAGGATATAATTTCTTCTTTCGAGTTTTTCGCTTTACTTGTATCCTCTACTCTTGATCCTGCCAAGAACACACACATTGCTATCGAAGTATAACATCTTGGCAATTCATTTTTCACAGATTTCTTTGTACCCTTTTATCGCTTGCTGAACTGTATCGTGGTCGAAAGAAGGAATGTTAAGGGTTTTTCCAACATGGATAATTCCATTATATGCTAGTTCTTTTCCTATATGTTGTGTTGGTTTTTTAGTTCTGCCTCAACAACTACTTCTTTCCACTGAAGGACAAATATTGGATTTCCTTCAAAAAAACAGAACAACATCGTCTATTCAAATTAGTTTCACCTGGTTCAATTGTTTTGAACCGCTTAAGAAAGAACAAGCAGAAAGAATTCGTATGTTGTACGAACAGTAACAAACAGAACCAAATATTGCCACGGTTTTTTTTACTTATATTTTGTGACAAATAAAGTTGGTCTGTGAGCGGCGAAGAAAAAAACAGCTTTGGGACATTTTTGGAGAAAATTTCCGCGGGGGGAGGGGGGAAATTTTTTATTTTTTGGAAGATTCTGCACCTCTGCATCGAACATTAAAATTTTAACAGCAACATTATATAAATACAAAACTATTTCATTTGATTGTTTCGAATGATTTATTTAAAACTGAGTTGTATTAAGTTCAATTCGTTGATAAGTTGAAAGCAAAGAAATAATAAAATGTCATATTCTATTAATGAGACATAATTATTTAGTTCAAGTAAATCGTTAGTCGTTATAATTTTCAAAATAATTGACAACACTTGAAAGATTGTTGAAATGAGTATCATGAAAAGTTTTAAAAGAAGCCCTGTAAATAGATCGTAATTAAATTTGACATTAATTTCGAATTAATGATAAACTTCAGAGTACATTGTAGTATTTCTGTCATGGAAAATTGCATTTGATTACTGGTCTATCTTGACATTATCCTTCCACTATGCTAATATTCATATTCTGTTGACAATACATTGACATCATGAGATTTTGTGATTGAAATAATTCTTATGTGCAATAATTAATTAGTTTCAAGATGTAATCATATGTATGTTTGATTTATTGTATAAATGATGAATTGGATTTTTTCCTCATTGGCTTCCTGATAGAAGAAGATCAGATGTGCATTTTTGCTACTAAAATGATGAAAATTGTATGTCAATAAGGAATTTCAATAGTTCAATGCAAATAAGAAACCGATTTCAATTTCAAATATAAGATTTAAGCAAGCAAAATCCATTAAAATGTATCTATTATTCATCAAAAAGAAATTTATGAGTTATAAAAAAATCGAAACATGTAGTAAAAGTCTGATTTTATAGGTTTGAGGTGCTATTTTATCAACATGAAGATTATAGAAAAGTCTATGAAGACAAATCAAATATTGCTGATGAGTTTTATTTGTCCATTTGTATTTGTTCTTATTTTTCCTTGTGATTCATCACAAAGATTAGTATTACAGCAACAGAAATACAACGAATTGTCGATGGACTTAGTACGTCATTTACATTTATTTTCTGTATATGTAATAGATAACAACTGGTGTCAGACATATATGTGGACTCAATAGTTTGATTATCTTTACGGAATGTCTGAAGAGAAGTATAGCTTGTATAAGAAACTTTATGAAACTGTCAATGAAATTTTTACAAGGCACCAACTACTTGGCGATGATATTTTTTTTTAATATTGTATGGATTTCATGGCTTTGGACATGATCCTTCATATAAAACTGTAACATTTTATGTTAGAACTATCTATTAGTGGAGTAACTACAAATATCAGAGGAAAAAATGTCTGAATCAATATTACTAATATTATTTTAATATTTCTCAATTGTTGATGAGTAATTTTGTCTCGCTTTTGTTGAACAATGTTCAAAGAGAAATGTATGGTAATAAAAAACAATACATATATTTACTATAAGTATTATCAGTAAGTTTTCATTATCAAAAGAAAATAGTATTTAAAGATTCACAAATTTCAATTCTTGGACTTGATTGAAATTGATTGTTATAGAATTACTAATCATGCATATATATATATACAAAATTAGTAATTTAGTTTCAATTTTTTTAATAAGAGTGCTGATCGATTTCGGCGGATTCTGATTTCAAGTCAAAAACTAGAATTGGTCTGGATGCATCTCTAATAGTACATGTAGCTGAATATACTAAACACATACTCGTATTTAAAGAAACTTTATATCATGTTTTTTAACATAACTGAGCAACATGTTTTTTCTAGCACATCATGAAAAATATCCAGGTAGAGAGAAATAGTGTTTTACCCGTTTTTTGAATAAAGGTAGTGAGTTGTAGTCGATCGCTATTTCGCTCCAGTTGCTTAGAGATGCTCTTTAGTCCCCATATTCTCTATTCAATTTTTCACGAAATCATACTCCGCATTCAATTGTACCAAGATAAGAACGTTCAGGGTTCCTGCTTTGCCGAATAAATGTGAGAAAATACAATAGTAGTTATTTAGAATAAAGTCATTCAGCGTTTCTTTAAAATATATTCTTAGTTGCGCAATACTCTAAAGATTCTTTGTATGCTAGTCTAGTAAAAGAATCAATAATACTTCTCGTAAAAATATGCTTCGGAGGGAGAACTTCGGATGACATTAGTCGAAATAGCTATTTTTTTTGTTTTTTTTTTTTAAATTTACGGAGAAGATTAAGAATCCTGAATGTTGTGATCTCTATAGCATTGAACACCTAATGTGATTTCATGGAAAGTTAAATAGAGAATATGCTAACTAGAGAGCATCTCTATGCAACTAGAACGAAATAGTAGAATAAAGCTGATACATACAAAATGTTTGCATTTGGAAAGTATTGAATTTTATCGACTTCTTTCGAGAAAAAAAGCTAGCTGCTTTCCGAAATGAAAAATTTTGATGCAAAAAAATTGAACAAATGGAACGAATTATTTAAAAAATAAGGCACAATGTTGTTAAAATCTATGCTTTGCAAAACGTGACATACTAGTCTTCTTGGATAAACAAATACTATTTTTAGACTTATTTGCATTTTACAATAGAAACCAAGTGAGAGTATGCAAGTTAGAGATATAAGAGAGCAAACATTAGATGAATAACTAAATTTATTTTATTTTTGAAGAACAAATAATTTACAGAGATAAAAGACAATAAGAAACTAATGACGACAAATGTGTTCACCACGTATTGAGTTCAAGATACATTCATTGCATGGACGAAAAATACAGTATATAAATCATTCATGACAAAGAAAACAAAAATACAGAAAGCTGAAAACAGTGCATATAATAAATAAATAATTACATAATTTTTAATATACGTTCTAACAAACTGAACTCAACTAAAATCCACTTAGACATATTCATCACTTTAATACAAAACTGTAAGTTTACAATTAAGGAGACAAGATTACGAATGATTTTGTACCGATGGAATAACATTTTGTTTGCATTTTTGAACGCTTTTGATGTGATTACTCACTGTTTTTAGAGCACCTATGTGATTCATTGGTATTGGTCCAGCTTGCACTTGATTATTGTAATGAACGAAATGGTTGTGAATTAGTTTTCGTAATGGTGGTGTTGTATAAATTGTTGCAACTCCAATAAATATTAAACATGTTGATGTAATAACGCCAACTATTCCATATGTTAATGGATATAGACGTCCAACAATAATTGCATATACCATAAAAATAATTGTTGGAAAACGCAATAAAATTAATACTCCTATCAACATTATAATACGTTTAATAACTGTTAAATCTCTTTGATTTCGTTGTCGTTGTATAACTGCAATAATAATTGTCGATGCATGAGTGGTCCGACGCATAAATGTAGTTATCCATATATATATTATTCCAATACATATTAATGGAATAAGATATAAAATAAGAATATGATAGACTTCTGCAATAACATATGTGTAAGGAATAAGACAATATTTTTCTGTTGGTAAACGAGCATACCAATCGACAAAAACTGGTGGTACAAGAAAAGCTAATATCAATAGCCATTGACAAATAATTAATATAAAATATAATGAAGAGGATGCCAGAAATTTCTTTGTGTAAAAAACAATACGACATAAACGATATATTGCTTGTAAGCAATAACTATAGTAAATTGCACATTCAAATATATCATAGAATAAACCCCATGCGAAACAAAATTTCATATTGTAAATTAAAAATCCTGTAAATAAGTTTGAACTAGTCATTACGATCATTGTAAAACACGTTAATAATGTAACCAAACAAGTATAACATGTTAATAGTAAAGATGCATCATGTAATTCTCGACGACATTTAAATATAAATGCAAAAATCAATAAAAATATGAGAATACATATAAAAACTGAACACCAATTGATTATGCCGAGAATTGTTGCTATTGATAACATTGCACAAAGTTTTTTAAAATGAATTTGAGAATTCTGTTATACACAACGATGATCTAAAATGAATATTTAATCAACAATAAAACTGAAAAACTAAGATAAAAAGTTTTCCTAAGTTTCTGAAACGTTCACAGACGATAGATTTTAATAAAACACAGGGAAAATGAATATTTTATTTCTAAACATTTACAAACAATATGCTTCAAATGAATTAAAGCTCTTCTTCAGCTAAAACTCATACCCCCGATTATGTTTTGGACCGGAATTTCTTTCACAAACATCCATGACCAAATAAAGACCGATATTCGTTTTGTTTCCTTGAAACATAAAAACATGATTTAAAGAAAAAAAAAGGGGGAAATTCATAATCTAGTTTTTTATACATAAAAAGCAAACTCTAATGCTCAAAGCACATTTAGAAAGTAAAGATTGTCTTAAAAGATTCTGTTTTTCTTTTTACTCTAATTAAGGCGTAAAGGATCTTCATCAAGAAAAAGTATGATTAAATCAACATACTAAATATAGACATATTAATGTCAAGTAAAAAAGTCTGAATATTTAGTATTAACGTAAAAAGTTGAGAATTAATTCTGGGATTGATTCTCAAATATATCAAACATAATTTTAGATAAATAGTCGAAATATTCATACGTCTCGAAGATTTTATCACGACATGATTAGACTTCTTTCAATACTATTAGAGACGATGTTTTCTGATAAGTAAAGGTGCAAGAAAATGCAAAATTCGAACGGATTTTTTCTTTGGTTTTTTTGTATATGATCTGATAGAGTTTGGAGAGTTGATCATGAGTATACAGTTTTTATTTCGATCGAGCCATTGTATGGTTAAAAAAAATCGTACAAAACTTGAATGACTAAATATATGGCATTGGTAATTAGGAGCTGCCATTTTTCATAGAAATTGTCAAATTTCAATTAGGTTATCTTTTCAAACTTAGTGGAAATATTTTATTCTGATTCAGCATCAAAAACTGACGATGAATATAAAGATGTCATTTGTTGAGACTTATAATTAATAAGGAAAAATAAACCTACCGAGTATGAATAACTTGAACGTGCATCCTAGCACGTATTTGTGAGTATTCTTGTAAAGTTATCTAAGTTTTTTTCTTAAAACAGGAGATAGAGGCAAATGTTTCATCTCATTAAAATCTTCAGAGTGTTAGCTAGAAGGGTATTCATGTTGTTTTTTTAGATTCTGCTCTATTGTTGAAAAAATTGAATCTTTTTTCTCATTTGGTGGCTAAATAACATAAAAGAATGAAAGATGCGCTCGAGTTTAGCAATTTTCGTTACTATCATTCAGTTCAAAAGCGAAGTAGACAGCATATTTGCAATCAACGCCAAAAACGGTATCGATTCATGCATGTTTTAGGAAAAATTTTTTTTGACAAAAACTACACCTGGGATCCCCATCAGGTCAGTTTTCTTAAGCTTTGTTCCAGGTCTAGTAGGGGTGAATTCTTCTTAAAAATTGAAATTTCTTACGACGTATTTGATTCAATGCAGTTTTGACTCTGATTTCGAATGGATTCCATGAATTTCGGCCCACGGAATTTTCGGCCCGGGCCGAAATTACCGATGGACTTTCGGACCATGACCTCATTGACCCTAAAATAAAAAGCCTAATTTTTTAAAATTAGTTGCTAGACATCGTAGTGCTGAGCAGGACGTCATAGTGCTCAGCGATATGACGTAACGCTGAGCAGAACGCCATAGTGCTCAGCGATATGACGTAGCGCTAAGGAGTATGACGCAGTGCTCAGCAGGATGTCATAGTGCTCATCGATATGTCGTAGTGCTGAGCAAGACGTCATAGGGCTAAGCGGTATGGCATAGTGCTGAGTAATATGACGTAGTGCTGAGCAGAGGGTATGGGGTGTGGATGTCTCTTCCTTCAATATCCACACTACCCCACACTTCACTCACACTCACACCCACACCTACGCCATAATGCTGAAGATTATGACGTCCTGCTCAGCACTGCACCATACCATTCAGCGCTATGACGTTCTGCTCAGCGCTACGTCATATCGCTGAGCACTATGACGTTCTGCTCAGCACTACGATGTCTAGCAACTAATTTTAAAAAATCAGGTTTTTTATTTTAGGGTCAATGAGGTCATGGGCCGAAAGCCCACCAGGAATTTCGGCCCGGCTCGAAAATTCCGTGGGCCGAAATTCTGGTCTCCCATTTCGAATATGCTATCTACTTCGCTTTTTAACTGAACAATGCTAATAGAAATTGCTGAATTCGAGCGCATTTTTCATGTTCTTATCTTATTTTGTCATCAAATAAGAAAAAAGATTTAATTTTCTCAACAATAAAACAGAATCTAAAAAAAACTAGATAAGTACCTTTCTAGCTCATGGTCTTGCGGTTCTGATGAGATAAGACACTTTCTTCTATATTTTGTTATTAAAAACAGTAGATAAGTTTGCAAGAATACTTACAAACATGTGCTATGAAGCATGCTCGAGCTATCAATATTTGACAGGACTTTTTTAACCTTATTAATTCAAAGTCTCAACAAAGGACATTTTTCTGCTCACCGTCAATTTTTGATGCTGAATCAGAATAAACTGTTTTTATAAAGTTTGAAAAAGTCACCTAATGAAAATTCGCCAATCTCTATGAGAAAAAGAAGATCAGTATTGCCAATGCCACATATTCAATCATTCAAGTTTTTGACGATTATTTTTACGTAAATAGTGACTGAAAAGAAATAAAATTATCAATTCGTGATCGGCTTGTCAAGCTCTATCATTTCATAAACAAAAAAGAGTGAGAAAAGTATCCACTGGAATTTTGCATTTCTCGCGTTTTACTTATATGAACGATGATTTATTGAGACGTTCTCATTATTAAAAACTTTTCATTTGTCTAACAACTGACACGCATCACAAACTCACTTAAATGCATTAATGATCGTTACACACTTCTAGGAAAACGCTTTCTCCCCTTTTTCCTTTCTCCTTAGCTCCTTTTCTTTGAAAGACGGCAAAGACTTTTTCGCAGGAGTGTATATCGAGATATTTTTAGAAAGTGCGTGAATTCTTCAGAAAGTAGTAAAAAAAGAACTAATCAAGAAAGGCAAACTTAACGATTAGAACAAAGTTTATATGGATTTTATAAATGGTTTTACTGATCCTGCATATGTTAATAAAGCGCCTTCAGCGTTAGTTTAATTCTGGATTGACCAGTAGATCTTTTTCTGACATTACGCATGTCATCAAGTCTTTAACAACCTATACTATGAGATTACTCTTAAATAAATCTAACAAAAAACAGTTTAAAAAACCTTCTATTTGGAAATCGATTTTTATTAATGAGGCCTACAACTGAGTGATTTTTCTGTAGCATTAATGGACATGTTAATGTCTACGTTCAATATGAACAGTATTTTGCTTCGGTCATCCAAGCAGTGTGTCCGCTTCGAACAAGACGAGCCATAAGAACAACTAATAGAAAATGATAGTTAATTGTAAATGCGTTTCTTGAACAAAAAATGTGTCTTAATAACACTTTAGTGGCCCTTTACATAACGTTTCGAAGAAAATTTCAGGTTTTCTTTGTGAAAAACTCTGTTTCACAGACATAGGATGTAATTAATGCGATCTATACTCAAAACGTGTCGCATATGAAGAGGACTTATTCAAATCAGAACACATACAGTTAAATCCCGTTGTCTAATACTTAAAATTGTTGTCTGCTTATGTATTGGTTTTACTAATTTACTGATATTCTAAGCATAGAAGAACACATTTCTCAGTAGAAAAAATACGCCTCGAGTCATGTGTTGAGATATGTTCTATGACGTATGCATGTTACCTCGGAGAATGTTTTTCTTCTCATAAAATGATACTTAACTATTTTCATATACAAGTGTCAAAGACTCAAAAATATCTTCGCTGCGTAATCAAGTATTCTTCTTTTGACATAGTTTTTTCGTAGATAATCTTATTTAATTATGTAAGCTAGAGACTAACAACTGGACTCATAGAATATTAAACTTGGAATAGATTTCAGCTGGACTTACCTATATGAAATGATAAATATTGTCAGTAATTGATACTATACTTTACAAAAAAAAAAAAAAATAACACTGTTATAAATCGTATCGAGCGTTTAAAATCTGCTTGACTATATGATTCCAAAAGCTCTCATCTTACCAATGATTTGATGTTTTTTGATACTGATGCGTTATCTTTTTCTTTTCCATCGTAGGAACATTGAATAAATTAAAAAAATTCGTGTACTTACGTTGAATTGAATAAACAGAAATGGCACTAAAAACTGTCAGTGTGACTAACAAAAAGTTCGCTTTTTTTCAATGACGCAATAAAGCTTACTCTGTAGCTTGTGAATGACAAAACATAATAGAAGACTCCGAATCTAATGTGTTGAGAGCTATATTTCTGATTGTATATGTTCACTAATGATCATTAATGGTGATAAGCATGCTGTTCTAATAATGAACATTAATTGTACCCGACATTTTACTTTTCGGTACTACGTAGAAAAAAAACGTACTTTTATTTTTAGTTCACAAATGTGGAATGTAGCATATTTCAGACGTCACGTTTTTTTTATGTCAAATAATATTGAAAATAAATTGACAGTTATTCATCACAGCACGATGTTTAAGATAATTTTTATTACGTAGAATCAAGGCCAGTAAATAACAGGCCTCGAAACTTGACTACATTTTGATAATCTGATCCAAGCCTTACGGAGCTAAGAATCGATCATGCTTGTCTGATCTGACGTCCACTTTATTAGAACATAGTCTTGCCAAGTGCATAATAATACTATCAAAAGAATATTTATTTTAAAACAATGATTTCTACTTGATGGAACTGCCTAGTCAACGCAATCATCTATTAAAACATTATAAAAAGTTTATTATTTTAGTTCTCATGAATTCAATAAAGTCATATAATTTTAATGCTTGACAAAACAGCATAAGAGATAAGTTGAA